CAGTTGCTGCCGAGCAAATGCTCGCCAGCAACTGACGTTTCGCTCTTCCCGAATCGAATACGTGGCAAAGAACCTTGTCACGTCACGACTTTGGCTCGAGCGAAAAGCAGAAATTTTCATAAATTATTAAATTGTAGGCCATGGCCCGGCAAATTCAGGCGATTGATTAATTTGTTCTATCGCATTTTTACTAAGAATTGTTTACAAATTTAAAATCGCTCACTGAGTAGCGCATCACGTATTATTCGCATTTGGGTCCGCGAAAATGAAACATACAAACGGTGGTCATTCATGGCAGGTGTATTCCTCATTTTCTGAGGCACTGAAGTGTCACCGACTTACTAGATTCAAGACTTCGATCGCGAGGGGGTCTCGCACGTTCCTCGTTGACCGGGTGAATAAGCAGGGATTAAGTTGAAACGACTCCGGAAGCCAGCCACCGCTTCTTTCGGCCTGTGTTTTTGAGAAAATGTTTGTCTACTAGTTTACAAAACTAAAAAAAGGAATCAACTTGGAACTAATAAGAAACCATCTCTCACAGAACACATTGGAAGCAACATGATACACGGAATCGCTTTCACTGAAGTGTTTACTACACCCGCGAGAGGTTCTAGAATTTTGCTTTCTTATTTTCAGTTTGATAAGGCATTCCTTTGTTAATTTTGTTTTGACCGAATTGTAATAAAAAAATACACACTATTCACCGTGGTAGATGTAGTGGGATAAAGCGCTGTATATTGTATTTTTATCATCCAGCTTTTTTGAACTGGGGTAGAGAACAGCACACCACCATCCGAGCGCTTCGGCGCCTCAGCGCCAAAAGTGTTTGTTATACTTCGTCTCACCCTAGCATGGACTAACCGCGAAGGCTGTGCTAGTGCGAGCGGCCAGCCTTGACTGCCTTGACTAGAGCACTTGCTGCACGAGCGCTCGTGCAGCCGCCGCGGCTTCATTCAAAGCGGCTATAGCTCGCGCTTTTAGCACGCACGGCTAACAATAGTCCATACATAGGTGAGACAAAGTATAGCAAGACTGCGCGCGTGCCACGTGCGGTTTCGAGCTTTGGTAAAATGTCTTTCTGCAAATATCACTTCACCAAATAAACACAATGCGTGAAATGCTTTGCTGCGCGTTACCCAAACATCGCATGAAGCGAGCTGACGAGCCGACGGATCCTAGATTTGCGGGGTCTGTCCCAGTCTGCAACCCGTGACATCACAAACAATGTTGATTATAGCTAGAGAAGCGCCCCCTGTAGCTCGCACACACCGCCAATAGGAGCAAGAAGCAGGCTAGAAGGAGAGAAAATGAGAGCAGCGGCGTATAGTGCGTAGCGTGCGAGAATGACGAGCATTTATGAGCCTATAGAATATGAGCGTTCAATAATGTTATTACGTTCACGTGGATCAAGAATGTGACATGGCTTGTCTGGGAAGGTATGGGGCAGGTGATGGATGGATGGATGGATGTTAATGGCCCTTTGTAATGGGCGGCATCTTGCACCCCCTAGCTTAACATATCGTCATCCCTTGATTCTTAAAATTTGTATAGATTTTGTTCTAACACATCCCTTTCCCCTTTAAAGTGTTCCTATTGCTTATTTTTATTTGTATTTTCACCCTCCCTAGATATTTTCCACCGATCTTCCCATTTCCTCTTAGTTACCGCAATTCTTTCCCTATCCATTCGTCCATCCGTGTCTGCAAATTCCAGGGCCCCCTCCAAATCCGTAGTCATTTCTCTCCCCCCCGCCCCCCCCCCCCCCCTCAAGAGAGTGGGACGAAGCCTTGTCATTTTAAAGTTACATGTTCTATAGACCTTTGCAAAAATCGCCTTCTGCGCGCCGCCATCTTTTGTCTTCTGGTCTGTGGAACCCCTTCTGAGCATGCGCTGTTGCCCTGTTGTGAGGCATATCAGACGCTGCGCATGCGCCCACAGCTCAGCGACTCAGTATTTTTCGCCCGGGTGGTAAGCGATGGAAAGGTCTATAGTTTCCCTTTCGCGGTTGCGTAAGTCGCGTACAGTGTCTATTTCCTGGAATTTAGCCCAATATGTTCACATAGCCAGGGGGGAGGCCCATGGGGCCTGGGCTTCCCCCGAAATCTTTCATTTTGCTGGGACCTCCTCTCCCCCTCCCCTCCCCCTCATACAGGAACTTATCAAGGGCGCCCCCCCCCCCCCCCCCGAACCAAAATCCTGGCGACGTGACTGTATGTTTTCATTCTTAGCACCCCCGTTCTAGCTTCAAGCAGCAATGAGCTCCTCAAAAAGGTATCATCAACTGTTCCTTCTTTATTTCTTGCTTTTGTGCCCTGTATATTGGTGAAGCTGATTTCCTTTAGAGAAAGCAGCTGCTTTTTCTCTCTTCTCACAATTTCCTCTCGATTTCCTTTACTCCATTTTCTACCGATATGCTCTGATCGGCCCCATCTCGTTGAATGTACTTAAATCTCAGCTTGTGGGTTCGGTTTGTCCACTTAGTGTTTAGACTTTCAATATTTAGATGTAGACTTTCCCTACCCACCGTGTATTTTAAATTCGGCTAGCTTTTGTTCAAAGTTTACTTTACCGATTGATTCTCCGCTCTTAAAGGATGCCCAACCCCTACCCCCTGTACTCCCTCCTTTGGTGTATTCCCAGGTGTGCCCAATGCCAGCCTACCCACACTCCTTTGCTGTATCTCTAAACCTGCCTGGATTTCGGACCTCATACATTCCCAAATGACAGTCCTGGCACCATGACTCCCTTCCATACACCCCTAACGACTTCATATCTATTATAGTTCCAGTGCCCCGTGTTTCATAATAGCTGAATCTCGTTTCCTCTGGTTTATGACAGTATCTTCATGTTCTTTTTAGATCCTTTCTTGCCTCATTTAACCATACTCTCAGATATTCATACTTTTTTACGTGTTCTATCACTGTGTCCTGTATCTCCAGGGGTTCTCCTTTCTCGTAGTTGAAAGCTATTTTACCCGACTGCTCAAGTTTAGGCCTGAACTGTCCCCTTGCCTGCTGCAAATCCTAATTAGTTCCTGTATTGTCTCAAATTGCCTGCTGCAAATCCTAATTAGTTCCTGTATTGTCTCACGACTTTCTGATACAAGTACAATGCTGTCTGCATACATTAATTCGTGGTCATAACTGAATTACTTTATGTCCTTCCTCCATGTAAGTCAGGTCAAAACCTAGGTTGCACTACTCTAATCTTTTTTCCATCTCCCTGAGCTGTATCTTTAGAATTCGATCAGAATTGCCTGGATAGTCCAATTTGTTTACCGAAGAGGCGACTACGTCTACGAAACAAACGAACAAGCAGATTATGCTTCCGCAACGAAAGAAGCGCTTATACTTGTTTTCATCACAAGAACTGTAGTACAAAAAACTTCGATCTTTTTTTCATATTTGATTTAAATCCCACTTTTTTAATATTTGATTTAAATAAAATATTACAAAGTTACAAGTCTGTCCATCATTAATTTTCATGGTTATAAAATATGCACATGCTATAAATGTTACGAAAAATTATATTTTTAGCACATTTTTTTGGAAGATAGAAGAAAACCGGTAAGATGACTTTCATGATGAAAATAATCCCTGGAGAAGGGGAACAAAAGGGACAAAGGACAAACATAAATCTCCAAACACAGCTAGGTGACTGGTGCGCAACCGAAAAAAAAACCCTGGTCCGGGTATCGAACCCGGGACCCTCCATTACAGGTGGAGCGTCATTCTTGTCCGGCTCGCTTGCACCTTTGCATTTGATTGCATTATAATCAAAAGATTACTTTCACCGTATTCTGACTCGAAGAGTTGTTTGTACAAAATAAGCAAACGGCTGATAAGTTATAAAGTACCATCTAGATGCTTTTTTTTCTTCTTCTTGTCATTCAAGCTTTATTTTATGTTCAAGCATGAATGTGCGGATTGCGGGTCAGATGCGGATACAATAGTTTGAGAATATTGGGGGGTGCGGTTCGGGTGCGCATACAAAGTCTGCGGATGCGGATGATCAAACTTTTTTCCTTGCAGTGCTTTAGTGAATTCATCCATGGCATCCCATCGCCGGGTTCTTTCCCGTAATCTCTTTAAAGCCTCGTTGTCCTTCCGGCCACAGGTGAAGTGTCGCAGTCCTGGGTGCAGTACCATAGTTGCCGTGAGCATTTACACGACGCACCTGAGCGTGTGCGAGATCAAAGAGGTGCCGTGCCCTCACGGCCTGTGCAAGCACCGCTGCCCTCGCCGAACCCTCGAGGACCACGTGAAGACGTGCCCGCACCGGATGCTGACCTGCCATCTGGGCTGCGGCGCGGTGGTGTCCGCGGTCCAGCTGGAAAATCACAGCTGTATGCTCAAGCTCAAACTTCAAGGCAAGAAACTCTGTTCACACAGCAGGGACTCAAACCTTAGCCCAAATCAAAAACCCCTGAGGAGCGCTTTTCTTTTTCTCATAACCCGAATTTAGCGTGGAATTTGTTCCGCCAAATTTAGCGGGGAAATTTTTCAGCTAAATTTAGCGGGGAAATTTTCCGCTATATTTTGGCGGAAAAGTTTTTCCGCTAAATTTAGCGGGAAAATTATCCCGCTAATCTTAGCGGGGAATTTCTCTCACTAAATTTAGCGGAAAAGTTTTCCGCTAAATTCAGCGGGTAATTTTTTCCGCTAACTTTTGCGGGAAATTTTACCGTCGTGACTTCACACGTGACGTCACGTGTAACCTTATTATGGAAGCGTCCCATAATGCAACGCACGGTTATGCCAACGGTGACGTCGCTCAACCCAGAAACGAGCGCCTAAGAGCTGCGCTCTAAAACACGACACAATATTAGAAACACGTCGAGTGTCGTATCTTCTGGTTTTGGGGGAAAGACGGAGAACTTCCCTTCCCCCCCTCCCCTTACCCGAATGCCTCTGACATCATTGCCATGACTAGTGACCTGGTACGTTATGGCAAAGAGCGTTTCGATTGAGGCAGACGCGTCGAATGCTCCGCAATTCGTGTTACCCAATCTTTACAGAAACAACGGCTAGCCTGGAGAAGTGGAAGCAAGAGGCGAGTGAACGCAGCAAGCTGCTGAAATGCCTAGATAACAGCCTCGCAGAGGTGACGCTGGAGAGGGACGGCTGGAAGGACAAGGCGGAGGATGCCAGCCGCACGCTGGAAAGCGTTCGCAACGACCTTGAAAAGATGACGGCGGACAGAGACAGCTTGAAGCTCAAGGCAGAGGGTGCCAGCGATGCGCTGAAAATCGTGTGCATCGACCTTAGAAAGACGACGGCAGACAGGGGGAGCTGGGAGCGCAAGGCGGTGGATGCCAGCCGCACGCTGGGAGGCGTACGCAACGACCTTGAAAAGATGACGGCGGACAGAGACAGCTTGAAGCTCAAGGCAGAGGATGCCAGCGATGCGCTGAAAATCGTGTGCATCGACCTTAGAAAGACGACGGCAGACAGGGGGAGCTGGGAGCTCAAGGCGGTGGATGCCAGCCGCACGCTGGGAGGCGTACGCAACGACCTTGAAAAGATGACGGCGGACAGAGACAGCTTGAAGCTCAAGGCAGAGGATGCCACCGATGCGCTGAAAATCGTGTGCATCGACCTTAGAAAGACGACGGCAGACAGGGGGAGCTGGGAGTTCAAGGCGGTGGATGCCAGCCGCACGCTGGGAAGCGTACGCAACGACCTTGAGAAGAGGACGGCGGACAGAGACAGCTTGAAGCTCAAGGCAGAGGATGCCAGCGATGCGCTGAAAATCGTGTGCATCGACCTTAGAAAGACGACGGCAGACAGGGGGAGCTGGGAGTTCAAGGCGGTGGATGCCAGCCGCACGCTGGGAAGCGTACGCAACGACCTTGAAAAGAGGACGGCGGACAGAGACAGCTTGGAGCTCAAGGCAGAGGATGCCAGCGATGCGCTGAAAATCGTGTGCATCGACCTTAGAAAGACGACGGCAGACAGGGGGAGCTGGGAGCTCAAGGCGGTGGATGCCAGCCGCACGCTGGGAGGCGTACGCAACGACCTTGAAAAGATGACGGCGGACAGAGACAGCTTGAAGCTCAAGGCAGAGGATGCCACCGATGAGCTGAAAATCGTGTGCATCGACCTTAGAAAGACGACGGCAGACAGGGGGAGCTGGGAGTTCAAGGCGGTGGATGCCAGCCGCACGCTGGGAGGCGTACGCAACGACCTTGAAAAGAGGACGGCGGACAGAGACAGCTTGGAGCTCAAGGCAGAGGATGCCAGCGATGCGCTGAAAATCGTGTGCATCGACCTTAGAAAGACGACGGCAGACAGGGGGAGCTGGGAGCTCAAGGCGGTGGATGCCAGCCGCACGCTGGGAGGCGTACGCAACGACCTTGAAAAGATGACGGCCGACAGAGACAGCTTGAAGCTCAAGGCAGAGGATGCCACCGATGCGCTGAAAATCGTGTGCATCGACCTTAGAAAGACGACGGCAGACAGGGGGAGCTGGGAGTTCAAGGCGGTGGATGCCAGCCGCACGCTGGGAAGCGTACGCAACGACCTTGAAAAGAGAACGGCGGACAGAGACAGCTTGGAGCTCAAGGCAGAGGATGCCAGCGATGCGCTGAAAATCGTGTGCATCGACCTTAGAAAGACGACGGCAGACAGGGGGAGCTGGGAGCTCAAGGCGGTGGATGCCAGCCGCACGCTGGGAGGCGTACGCAACGACCTTGAAAAGATGACGGCGGACAGAGACAGCTTGAAGCTCAAGGCAGAGGATGCCACCGATGCGCTGAAAATCGTGTGCATCGACCTTAGAAAGACGACGGCAGACAGGGGGAGCTGGGAGCTCAAGGCGGTGGATGCCAGCCGCACGCTGGGAGGCGTACGCAACGACCTTGAAAAGAGGACGGCGGACAGAGACAGCTTGAAGCTCAAGGCAGAGGATGCCAGCGATGCGCTGAAAATCGTGTGCATCGACCTTAGAAAGACGACGGCAGACAGGGGGAGCTGGGAGTTCAAGGCGGTGGATGCCAGCCGCACGCTGGGAAGCGTACGCAACGACCTTGAAAAGAGGACGGCGGACAGAGACAGCTTGAAGCTCAAGGCAGAGGATGCCACCGATGCGCTGAAAATCGTGTGCATCGACCTTAGAAAGACGACGGCAGACAGGGGGAGCTGGGAGCTCAAGGCGGTGGATGCCAGCCGCACGCTGGGAGGCGTACGCAACGACCTTGAAAAGAGGACGGCGGACAGAGACAGCTTGAAGCTCAAGGCAGAGGATGCCACCGATGCGCTGAAAATCGTGTGCATCGACCTTAGAAAGACGACGGCAGACAGGGGGAGCTGGGAGTTCAAGGCGGTGGATGCCAGCCGCATGCTGGGAGGCGTACCCAACGACCTTGAAAAGATGACGGCGGACAGAGACAGCTTGAAGCTCAAGGCAGAGGATGCCACCGATGCGCTGAAAATCGTGTGCATCGACCTTAGAAAGACGACGGCAGACAGGGGGAGCTGGGGGTTCAAGGCGGTGGATGCCAGCCGCACGCTGGGAAGCGTACGCAACGAGCTTGAAAAGAGGACGGCGGACAGAGACAGCTTGGAGCTCAAGGCAGAGGATGCCAGCGATGCGCTGAAAATCGTGTGCATCGACCTTAGAAAGACGACGGCAGACAGGGGGAGCTGGGAGCTCAAGGCGGTGGATGCCAGCCGCACGCTGGGAGGCGTACGCAACGACCTTGAAAAGAGGACGGCGGACAGAGACAGCTTGAAGCTCAAGGCAGAGGATGCCACCGATGCGCTGAAAATCGTGTGCATCGACCTTAGAAAGACGACGGCAGACAGGGGGAGCTGGGAGTTCAAGGCGGTGGATGCCAGCCGCACGCTGGGAGGCGTACGCAACGACCTTGAAAAGATGACGGCGGACAGAGACAGCTTGGAGCTCAAGGCAGAGGATGCCACCGATGCGCTGAAAATCGTGTGCATCGACCTTAGAAAGACGACGGCAGACAGGGGGAGCTGGGAGTTCAAGGCGGTGGATGCCAGCCGCACGCTGGGAGGCGTACGCAACGACCTTGAAAAGATGACGGCGGACAGAGACAGCTTGAAGCTCAAGGCAGAGGATGCCACCGATGCGCTGAAAATCGTGTGCATCGACCTTAGAAAGACGACGGCAGACAGGGGGAGCTGGGAGTTCAAGGCGGTGGATGCCAGCCGCACGCTGGGAAGCGTACGCAACGACCTTGAAAAGAGGACGGCGGACAGAGACAGCTTGAAGCTCAAGGCAGAGGATGCCAGCGATGCGCTGAAAATCGTGTGCATCGACCTTAGAAAGACGACGGCAGACAGGGGGAGCTGGGAGTTCAAGGCGGTGGATGCCAGCCGCACGCTGGGAAGCGTACGCAACGACCTTGAAAAGATGACGGCGGACAGAGACAGCTTGAAGTCAAGGCAGAGGATGCCACCGATGCGCTGAAAATCGTGTGCATCGACCTTAGAAAGACGACGGCAGACAGGGGGAGCTGGGAGTTCAAGGCGGTGGATGCCAGCCGCACGCTGGGAAGCGTACGCAACGACCTTGAAAAGAGGACGGCGGACAGAGACAGCTTGAAGTCAAGGCAGAGGATGCCACCGATGCGCTGAAAATCGTGTGCATCGACCTTAGAAAGACGACGGCAGACAGGGGGAGCTGGGAGTTCAAGGCGGTGGATGCCAGCCGCACGCTGGGAGGCGTACGCAACGACCTTGAAAAGAGGACGGCGGACAGAGACAGCTTGAAGCTCAAGGCAGAGGATGCCAGCGATGCGCTGAAAATCGTGTGCATCGACCTTAGAAAGACGACGGCAGACAGGGGGAGCTGGGAGTTCAAGGCGGTGGATGCCAGCCGCACGCTGGGAGGCGTACGCAACGACCTTGAAAAGAGGACGGCGGACAGAGACAGCTTGAAGCTCAAGGCAGAGGATGCCACCGATGCGCTGAAAATCGTGTGCATCGACCTTAGAAAGACGACGGCAGACAGGGGGAGCTGGGAGTTCAAGGCGGTGGATGCCAGCCGCACGCTGGGAGGCGTACGCAACGACCTTGAAAAGAGGACGGCGGACAGAGACAGCTTGAAGCTCAAGGCAGAGGATGCCAGCGATGCGCTGAAAATCGTGTGCATCGACCTTAGAAAGACGACGGCAGACAGGGGGAGCTGGGAGCTCAAGGCGGTGGATGCCAGCCGCACGCTGGGAGGCGTACGCAACGACCTTGAAAAGAGGACGGCGGACAGAGACAGCTTGAAGCTCAAGGCAGAGGATGCCACCGATGCGCTGAAAATCGTGTGCATCGACCTTAGAAAGACGACGGCAGACAGGGGGAGCTGGGAGTTCAAGGCGGTGGATGCCAGCCGCATGCTGGGAGGCGTACCCAACGACCTTGAAAAGATGACGGCGGACAGAGACAGCTTGAAGCTCAAGGCAGAGGATGCCACCGATGCGCTGAAAATCGTGTGCATCGACCTTAGAAAGACGACGGCAGACAGGGGGAGCTGGGGGTTCAAGGCGGTGGATGCCAGCCGCACGCTGGGAAGCGTACGCAACGAGCTTGAAAAGAGGACGGCGGACAGAGACAGCTTGGAGCTCAAGGCAGAGGATGCCAGCGATGCGCTGAAAATCGTGTGCATCGACCTTAGAAAGACGACGGCAGACAGGGGGAGCTGGGAGCTCAAGGCGGTGGATGCCAGCCGCACGCTGGGAGGCGTACGCAACGACCTTGAAAAGAGGACGGCGGACAGAGACAGCTTGAAGCTCAAGGCAGAGGATGCCACCGATGCGCTGAAAATCGTGTGCATCGACCTTAGAAAGACGACGGCAGACAGGGGGAGCTGGGAGTTCAAGGCGGTGGATGCCAGCCGCACGCTGGGAGGCGTACGCAACGACCTTGAAAAGATGACGGCGGACAGAGACAGCTTGGAGCTCAAGGCAGAGGATGCCACCGATGCGCTGAAAATCGTGTGCATCGACCTTAGAAAGACGACGGCAGACAGGGGGAGCTGGGAGTTCAAGGCGGTGGATGCCAGCCGCACGCTGGGAGGCGTACGCAACGACCTTGAAAAGATGACGGCGGACAGAGACAGCTTGAAGCTCAAGGCAGAGGATGCCACCGATGCGCTGAAAATCGTGTGCATCGACCTTAGAAAGACGACGGCAGACAGGGGGAGCTGGGAGTTCAAGGCGGTGGATGCCAGCCGCACGCTGGGAAGCGTACGCAACGACCTTGAAAAGAGGACGGCGTACAGAGACAGCTTGAAGCTCAAGGCAGAGGATGCCAGCGATGCGCTGAAAATCGTGTGCATCGACCTTAGAAAGACGACGGCAGACAGGGGGAGCTGGGAGTTCAAGGCGGTGGATGCCAGCCGCACGCTGGGAAGCGTACGCAACGACCTTGAAAAGATGACGGCGGACAGAGACAGCTTGAAGTCAAGGCAGAGGATGCCACCGATGCGCTGAAAATCGTGTGCATCGACCTTAGAAAGACGACGGCAGACAGGGGGAGCTGGGAGTTCAAGGCGGTGGATGCCAGCCGCACGCTGGGAAGCGTACGCAACGACCTTGAAAAGAGGACGGCGGACAGAGACAGCTTGAAGTCAAGGCAGAGGATGCCACCGATGCGCTGAAAATCGTGTGCATCGACCTTAGAAAGACGACGGCAGACAGGGGGAGCTGGGAGTTCAAGGCGGTGGATGCCAGCCGCACGCTGGGAGGCGTACGCAACGACCTTGAAAAGAGGACGGCGGACAGAGACAGCTTGAAGCTCAAGGCAGAGGATGCCAGCGATGCGCTGAAAATCGTGTGCATCGACCTTAGAAAGACGACGGCAGACAGGGGGAGCTGGGAGTTCAAGGCGGTGGATGCCAGCCGCACGCTGGGAGGCGTACGCAACGACCTTGAAAAGAGGACGGCGGACAGAGACAGCTTGAAGCTCAAGGCAGAGGATGCCACCGATGCGCTGAAAATCGTGTGCATCGACCTTAGAAAGACGACGGCAGACAGGGGGAGCTGGGAGTTCAAGGCGGTGGATGCCAGCCGCACGCTGGGAAGCGTACGCAACGACCTTGAAAAGATGACGGCGGACAGAGACAGCTTGAAGTCAAGGCAGAGGATGCCACCGATGCGCTGAAAATCGTGTGCATCGACCTTAGAAAGACGACGGCAGACAGGGGGAGCTGGGAGTTCAAGGCGGTGGATGCCAGCCGCACGCTGGGAGGCGTACGCAACGACCTTGAAAAGATGACGGCGGACAGAGACAGCTTGAAGTCAAGGCAGAGGATGCCACCGATGCGCTGAAAATCGTGTGCATCGACCTTAGAAAGACGACGGCAGACAGGGGGAGCTGGGAGTTCAAGGCGGTGGATGCCAGCCGCACGCTGGGAAGCGTACGCAACGACCTTGAAAAGAGGACGGCGGACAGAGACAGCTTGAAGTCAAGGCAGAGGATGCCACCGATGCGCTGAAAATCGTGTGCATCGACCTTAGAAAGACGACGGCAGACAGGGGGAGCTGGGAGTTCAAGGCGGTGGATGCCAGCCGCACGCTGGGAGGCGTACGCAACGACCTTGAAAAGAGGACGGCGGACAGAGACAGCTTGAAGCTCAAGGCAGAGGATGCCAGCGATGCGCTGAAAATCGTGTGCATCGACCTTAGAAAGACGACGGCAGACAGGGGGAGCTGGGAGTTCAAGGCGGTGGATGCCAGCCGCACGCTGGGAGGCGTACGCAACGACCTTGAAAAGAGGACGGCGGACAGAGACAGCTTGAAGCTCAAGGCAGAGGATGCCACCGATGCGCTGAAAATCGTGTGCATCGACCTTAGAAAGACGACGGCAGACAGGGGGAGCTGGGAGTTCAAGGCGGTGGATGCCAGCCGCACGCTGGGAAGCGTACGCAACGACCTTGAAAAGAGGACGGCGGACAGAGACAGCTTGAAGTCAAGGCAGAGGATGCCACCGATGCGCTGAAAATCGTGTGCATCGACCTTAGAAAGACGACGGCAGACAGGGGGAGCTGGGAGTTCAAGGCGGTGGATGCCAGCCGCACGCTGGGAAGCGTACGCAACGACCTTGAAAAGTTGACGGCGGACAGAGACAGCTTGAAGCTCAAGGCAGAGGATGCCACCGATGCGCTGAAAATCGTGTGCATCGACCTTAGAAAGACGACGGCAGACAGGGGGAGCTGGGAGTTCAAGGCGGTGGATGCCAGCCGCACGCTGGGAAGCGTACGCAACGACCTTGAAAAGATGACGGCGGACAGAGACAGCTTGAAGCTCAAGGCAGAGGATGCCACCGATGCGCTGAAAATCGTGTGCATCGACCTTAGAAAGACGACGGCAGAGAGGGGGAGCTGGGAGTTCAAGGCGGTGGATGCCAGCCGCACGCTGGGAAGCGTACGCAACGACCTTGAAAAGTTGACGGCGGACAGAGACAGCTTGAAGCTCAAGGCAGAGGATGCCACCAATGCGCTGAAAATCGTGTGCATCGACCTTAGAAAGACGACGGCAGACAGGGGGAGCTGGGAGTTCAAGGCGGTGGATGCCAGCCGCACGCTGGGAAGCGTACGCAACGACCTTGAAAAGATGACGGCGGACAGAGACAGCTTGAAGCTCAACGCAGAGGATGCCACCGATGCGCTGAAAATCGTGAGCATCGACCTTAGAAAGACGACGGCAGACAGGGGGAGCTGGGAGTTCAAGGCGGTGGATGCCAGCCGCACGCTGGGAAGCGTACGCAACGACCTTGAAAAGATGACGGCGGACAGAGACAGCTTGAAGCTCAAGGCAGAGGATGCCACCGATGCGCTGAAAATCGTGTGCATCGACCTTAGAAAGACGACGGCAGACAGGGGGAGCTGGGAGTTCAAGGCGGTGGATGCCAGCCGCACGCTGGGAAGCGTACGCAACGACCTTGAAAAGATGACGGCGGACAGAGACAGCTTGAAGCTCAAGGCAGAGGATGCCACCGATGCGCTGAAAATCATGTGCATCGACCTTAGAAAGACGACGGCAGAGAGGGGGAGCTGGGAGTTCAAGGCGGTGGATGCCAGCCGCACGCTGGGAAGCGTACGCAACGACCTTGAAAAGATGACGGCGGACAGAGACAGCTTGAAGCTCAAGGCAGAGGATGCCACCGATGCGCTGAAAATCGTGTGCATCGACCTTAGAAAGACGACGGCAGACAGGGGGAGCTGGGAGTTCAAGGCGGTGGATGCCAGCCGCACGCTGGGAAGCGTACGCAACGACCTTGAAAAGTTGACGGCGGACAGAGACAGCTTGAAGCTCAAGGCAGAGGATGCCACCGATGCGCTGAAAATCGTGTGCATCGACCTTAGAAAGACGACGGCAGACAGGGGGAGCTGGGAGTTCAAGGCGGTGGATGCCAGCCGCACGCTGGGAAGCGTACGCAACGACCTTGAAAAGATGACGGCGGACAGAGACAGCTTGAAGCTCAAGGCAGAGGATGCCACCGATGCGCTGAAAATCGTGTGCATCGACCTTAGAAAGACGACGGCAGACAGGGGGAGCTGGGAGTTCAAGGCGGTGGATGCCAGCCGCACGCTGGGAAGCGTACGCAACGACCTTGAAAAGTTGACGGCGGACAGAGACAGCTTGAAGCTCAAGGCAGAGGATGCCACCGATGCGCTGAAAATCGTGTGCATCGACCTTAGAAAGACGACGGCAGACAGGGGGAGCTGGGAGTTCAAGGCGGTGGATGCTAGCCGCACGCTGGGAAGCGTACGCAACGACCTTGAAAAGTTGACGGCGGACAGAGACAGCTTGAAGCTCAAGGCAGAGGATGCCACCGATGCGCTGAAAATCGTGTGCATCGACCTTAGAAAGACGACGGCAGACAGGGGGAGCTGGGAGTTCAAGGCGGTGGATGCTAGCCGCACGCTGGGAAGCGTACGCAACGACCTTGAAAAGAGGACGGCGGACAGAGACAGCTTGAAGTCAAGGCAGAGGATGCCACCGATGCGCTGAAAATCGTGTGCATCGACCTTAGAAAGACGACGGCAGACGGGGAGCTGGGAGTTCAAGGCGGTGGATGCCAGCCGCACGCTGGGAAGCGTACGCAACGACCTTGAAAAGAGGACGGCGGACAGAGACAGCTTGAAGTCAAGGCAGAGGATGCCACCGATGCGCTGAAAATCGTGTGCATCGACCTTAGAAAGACGACGGCAGACAGGGGGAGCTGGGAGTTCAAGGCGGTGGATGCCAGCCGCACGCTGGGAAGCGTACGCAACGACCTTGAAAAGAGGACGGCGGACAGAGACAGCTTGAAGTCAAGGCAGAGGATGCCACCGATGCGCTGAAAATCGTGTGCATCGACCTTAGAAAGACGACGGCAGACGGGGAGCTGGGAGTTCAAGGCGGTGGATGCCAGCCGCACGCTGGGAAGCGTACGCAACGACCTTGAAAAGAGGACGGCGGACAGAGACAGCTTGAAGCTCAAGGCAGAGGATGCCACCGATGCGCTGAAAATCGTGTGCATCGACCTTAGAAAGACGACGGCAGACAGGGGGAGCTGGGAGTTCAAGGCGGTGGATGCCAGCCGCACGCTGGGAAGCGTACGCAACGACCTTGAAAAGAGGACGGCGGACAGAGACAGCTTGAAGTCAAGGCAGAGGATGCCACCGATGCGCTGAAAATCGTGTGCATCGACCTTAGGAAGACGACGGCAGACGGGGAGCTGGGAGTTCAAGGCGGTGGATGCCAGCCGCACGCTGGGAAGCGTACGCAACGACCTTGAAAAGTTGACGGCGGACAGAGACAGCTTGAAGTCAAGGCAGAGGATGCCACCGATGCGCTGAAAATCGTGTGCATCGACCTTAGAAAGACGACGGCAGACGGGGAGTTGGGAGTTCAAGGCGGTGGATGCCAGCCGCACGCTGGGAAGCGTACGCAACGACCTTGAAAAGAGGACGGCGGACAGAGACAGCTTGAAGCTCAAGGCAGAGGATGCCACCGATGCGCTGAAAATCGTGTGCATCGACCTTAGAAAGACGACGGCAGACAGGGGGAGCTGGGAGCTCAAGGCGGTGGATGCCAGCCGCACGCTGGGAGGCGTACGCAACGACCTTGAAAAGATGACGGCGGACAGAGACAGCTTGAAGCTCAAGGCAGAGGATGCCACCGATGCGCTGAAAATCGTGTGCATCGACCTTAGAAAGACGACGGCAGACAGGGGGAGCTGGGAGCTCAAGGCGGTGGATGCCAGCCGCACGCTGGGAGGCGTACGCAACGACCTTGAAAAGATGACGGCGGACAGAGACAGCTTGAAGCTCAAGGCAGAGGATGCCACCGATGCGCTGAAAATCGTGTGCATCGACCTTAGAAAGACGACGGCAGACAGGGGGAGCTGGGAGTTCAAGGC